GAGTAAAACTACATCTCATAAAAAAAAAAAAAAAAAAAAGAAATATATGGAACTGCCCAAGGGGAGGCGGGACTGGCCTGGCCTTGCTACTCATTTTGACAAAGGAGTAAACGGAGGCATGGCCCTTCCCTCCCTCATCAGAACTGAAAGGCGTCTGAGGCCCCAGCAGGCCCCTCTTCGTGAGACTTGGTGGCTCTGAGGGTCTGGGACGTCCCCTCTCCACCCCCCGGCATTCTCCTGCCAGGCTGAGAGTATCATTTTCAAAATGGTAACCAGCAACCCAACGTGATTCTCACACAAAGGCAAGGTGAGCCTGCTCCCTGCTCACCCTGAATCATTCATGAAGGAGGCAGCTGGCCTGCGGACTGGGATGGGGGACAGGGAGGAGAAGAGACGGAGGCTGCGCCCCGCTCACTAAGTCAACCAGGTGCCCACAGGAGCCCCTGGCGTCTCCCTGCGCTGCTGTTCTGCACATGGCGGCTGACCTGTGCATCGTGGGCCCTCAGCCATGATTACGGTCAGGCCAGCCCCGGGAGGACAGTGGTTTCAGGTGTCCTGGGTGGGGGAGGTTCCTGGGACCAGGCCGCCACTGCGATAGCCAAGGTCCTGCTTGTCCCTGCCGGCACCCTCTAAGCTTCAGCTGCCGGGAGGTGCTGAGGGGTGGCCCCAAAGAAAGACATTCACGTCTTAAACCCAGGAACCCGTGAGCAAGGCTTCATTTGGAAAACCAGTCTCTGAAGATACCATTCAGCGTGCTGAGCTGAGATCACCCTGGAGCCCCAGGTGGACCTGAAATCCCGGGATATATGTTTTTTTTGTCACCCAGGCTGGAGTGCAGTGGCATGATCTCGGCTCACTGCAACCTCTGCCCCTCCGGTTCAGGCGAATCTCCTGCCTCAGCCTCCCGAGTAGCTGGGATTACAGGCGTCCGCCACCATGCCCAGTTAATTTTTTGTTTTTTCAGTAGAGATGGGTTTCACCATGTTGACCAGGATGGTCTCGATCTCTTGACCTCGTGATCCACCCGCCTCGGCCTCCCAAGGTGTTGGGATTACAGGCGTGAGCCACCGCGCCCAGCCTTATTTTTCTATTTTTAGTAGAGACAGGGTTTCACCATCTTGGCCAGTAGCTGGCCAACTAATGGGTTAAAACTCCTGGTCTGAAACTCCTGACCTCAGGTGACTTGCCGCCCACCTGGGCCTCCCAAAGTGCTGGGATTACCGGCGTGAGCCTCCACACCCAGCCAAACCCCCGGGGGCCTCTTACAGGCTTAGTGGCCTCAGGCCCCCCACTCCCCCTCTCTAGGAAAAGGAGAATATAAGTATTTCCTAGGCAGGGGACTAACGGGTTAAAACAGGAAAACCTTTCTGGAGGGGTGCCGCTCTAGGTGAACTCCCTTGGGTGTGGGTCAGGCTGGGGGAGGGGGAAGCTGGGTGTCAGGCTGGGGGAGAGGCGGATGGAGCAGCCAGCAGCGGATGGAGCGGGAAGGGTGGGTCGGGCAGATAATGGCTGTGGCCTTTTCCTGTTGGCCTGAGGGCCCAGGGTGGAGGCAGTGATGCTGGTCTCCCTGAGGTCTGGGACGAGAAGGCCCTGGAGAGACGTGACCTTGACCACTCAGGGGCAAGACCTTGGCTCCCCCACACCTTGCAGGGACAGGGGTCCTTCTTGGGGTGGGGGATGAACAAAGGAGTCGTGGGGCTCATTTAAAGGACCCCTCAGGCTGGGTGTGGCGGCTCTCACCTGTAATCCCAGCACTTCAGGCAGCTGAGGCAGGAGGATCAAGGGAGCTCAGGAGTTTCAGACCAGCCTGGGCAAAATAGTGAGACTCTGTGTCTACAAAAACTTTTCAAAAATTAGCCAGGCGTGGTGGAAATACTCGCCTACAGGCCAGGCGCGGTCGCTCACGCCTGTAATCCCAGCACTTTGGGAGGCCAAGGGGGGCGGAACACCTGGGCTCAGGAGTTCGAGACCAGCCTGGCCAACACCGTGAAACCTTGTCTTTACTAAAAATACAAAAATTAGCCCGGCGTCGTGGCGTGTGCCTGTAATCTCAACTACTCGGGAGGCTGAGTCAGGAGAATCGCCTGACCCCGGGAGGTGGAGGTTGCAGTGAACTGAGATCACGCCACTGCACTCCAGTCTGGGCGACAGAGCGAAGCTCTGTCTTAAAAAAAAGAGAAGAAAGGAAGGAAGAAAAGAAGAAAGAAATATATGGGAAAGGCCGGGCACGGTGGCTCACGCCTGTAATCCCAGCACTGTGGGAGGCCGAGGCGGGTGGATCACGAGGTCAAGAGATCGAGACCATCCTGGTCAACATGGTGAAACCCCGTCTCTACTAAAAATACAAAACATTAGCT